GCGACGGGCGGCGGGAGCTGGGGCCCCGCGCAGCCTCGCGCAGGGTGGGGTGGTCGAGCACGAGCGTGCTCGGCAGCTTGAGCCCCAAGCTGGGGGCCGGGCGGTCATCGCCGTCGTCGTTGTGATGCTCCTTCTCCTCCTGCCCGATTCTGCGCGATTCCGGCGCCCGCGTGGTTGTCTTTTCGGCTGCTGGGCCTCCCCATCGTTTCGGGTCGCAGCGGATTCCTGGTCGACCCCTTGCGCGGCAGATCGAGGTTGATGGAACCCTTCGGCCGCATTTCCCCTTACCCCAACTCTTCTGGCGGGGCGCTCGGTCCTTTGCGCGAAGGCGCCGGTCGAGGATAGACGTCATGCACGGCAGAGCTTTCTGCATAACTATCCCTCCCCCTCGCCCTCCCGAGGAGGGGTTGCCCCTAGAAAGACCGCGCAGGGCCTGTGCAGTCTGAGCGAAAGCATCTACCAGGAGAAGAGAACCCCTCTGCACAATGCGAATACGTAACACTGAGGGGGCGCAACGAATGCCTTGCAGAGGCTGGGGACCGTCGCGGCTGGCTGATACTGTCGAAACGGACAACCCACAGCGGGCGCATTTGTTTTGCGAAGCGGGTCGTCGGCGGGTCGCGGTAACACCGACAACGTCACGGACAGTCCCCACCGCGGAGCCCGCTTCAGCTACGCACACAAGGATAAAGTAAGACCGCTCGCCCGCCTCATTGTGACTCACCTCGCCTCTCTCTCTCTCTCGCTCTCTCTCTCTCTCTCGTTCTCTCTCTCTCATGATCAATTGTTTTTTGTGTCCTCTCTCTGACATACATCCGTGATCACATCCATTCATACAATCAACACACAGCCGTCGAACATGTCATGATCTGCATACACACATGTGTATGTACATACGCACATACAAACAAGTGCAATCATACCTTGATACGTAGCTGCTGTGTAAATATACACGTGCATATTGCGCAGATGCACCCATTCCCCTTATGACATCTGTGTGAGTGCGCGGGGCAGTCCGTAGCCAGTTTGGCTCCAGCTATTTCAACTCGAAGTGGATTGAACGACTTGGGCGGCGCAGCGAAGAGCCACCCAGCCCTCGGCCGCGCGGGGCTCGGCGGCTGGGACAGCGGCGCGGCCTGGGCGGGCCATGCTCGGCGGGCCCTGCCGGGCGGGCGACAACGCGGGCGCCCCGGCGCACCTCCCGCCAGGGTGGTCGCTTCCATGTTGTTGGGAGATGCCTGGGCCAGGCGAAAGCGGCCATGAACCGTCCCCGACCGACGGCATCGCCAGGCGTGGGCCCGCCCCCGCTCGAAGGCCTTGCCGCAGCCCAAGCCGGCCGCGACGCAGCTGACGCCGGCAGGCCAACTTCCGCGGGTGGCGGCGCCCGGTGGCGTGCGAGCCCCGGTAAGTCCTCTGAGGGCGCCGACCCCGTGGGCGGTGCCTCCGACGAGCAAGCCGCGGCTGGTGCAAGCTCCCAGCGGCAGCCCTGCCTGAGAGCGACGGCGCGGGCGAAACCCGCGAGAGCCAGCTCCGGGGCAACTGGCGTTGAGCTCCCGAGAACCAAATTACTGGGCGCCGCTCGCGACTGCACTAGCACCGGGTGTACATGAACCCGCGCGAAATCCGGAACTGCTCCGCGCATTCGGCGCCCCGCCAGCAATGCCTCTCCTGTGCGCGCCACTTCCCTCGTCGCGTAGGCCACGTGCGCGACGTCGCCAGCGCGCCGATGTGCGGCCGGCCCACGCGGCGGCCGCCACGACGCTGAAGGCGGCGGAGGCCGCGGCAGCACGCCGCCAGGGCCGCAGCCTTCCCAGATCCAGCTCTGGCGAACCCCCGTCGCGGGCGGAGCGCCCGCCGCTCCCGGCCTGGCGGCGGGGGCGCTCAATGGAACCGTGCCGCGAGCGCCGGCGGCCAGGGCGCCGACGTGGGCGGCGCCAACGCCGGCCGCCCCTGGAGCACGAGGGGCAGCGTAAGCGGCGGGGCGTAGCCGCGCGGGGGGCAGTTCAGGGAGCAGTTCGGGAAGCACCGCGGCGAGGCCGTGACGCTGGGAACGACCGCGGGCCCGCCGCCGCCGCCGCCGGCAGCTACCGCGGCGGTGGACCTGAAGGCGCGCGGGTAGGGCCACCGGGGCCCCGAGAGCGGCGCAAAAGCGGGCCTGCTCCAATGCCGGTGCGACGCCGGGTCAACCGACGGCCAGAACGCAGCGATGAATTTCAAGCCTGTTGGCTGTCATCGCACATGACAACTGCCGCGCATTACCAGTGCGCGTTTTCCCGCCACGTGCGAAACGAATCGCAGATGCGTCCGTCACCATGTCCACCAATTCGAAGAACATCGTTCGTTTGCGGGTCGAATGAGCGTGGCCGGGCCGATCGTGCATTTCGAAAGTGGAGCCCATCATCACCAAGGTGCTGGTAACCAATGAGTTGCTTGTGTTTAGGCAAATTTGGATCCTCCAGCGCCTAAAATGGAATAGAAAAACTCGCGCGCCGCCTTGTCTAGAGCAAACACGTCGCGAGATCCACCCGCCCCCCCGTCGCCCCCGAGGCAGGCGCGCGCCGACTTTGAATTTGACTCCGCGAACGCAAAATTCACGCACTGCGCGTTTCGCTATCAACGCATGGCCACCAAACATTCTGCATTGAATGGCACATGGGATGGAACAGCATCGCAGACACCCGCAGATTCTCGAACGGAGCAATTCGGGAAATTACGCACAAGTCGAGTATACCATCACTAGCTTTGGCGTGAGATTGGGCGCTAGCGGATTGCCCGTGGCGACGCCATCTGCAAGCCTATCGGCGTCGCCCGCGCGCCCCTTCCAATCAATATATGTGACTTCCAACGTGTGAGCGAATTAGTGGACAAGAGCCCATTCGATGATGCAAAATTGCGCGCGGGGCGTGGAGTGCAGTTGCGATGGCAGTGCCATCTTCGAAAGATAACGCGTGATTATCTTTGAAGTGCTTCCTCAAGTTCGCGGGTCTTGCCGCGCTCGTCAATCTACGCAGCTCTGCACGCGCGCATTGGCCAGCGACGCTGGACGTTGACTCGGCGATCCCTCCCGGGGCTGTTCGGCGGTTCAATCGCAACGTCTATTTGGTGGCACGCATGCGAATACTACGCGGTCGCAGCGGCCGAAACGGCCAATGGGCCGGCGTGCCTGGCTCGGGGGGGCGACGGGGTCGGCGGGGGGGCGCGAGGGCGAGAAGCGCGCAAACGGGGGCGAGGGAGATGAGGTGGAGCGATAAGGATGAGGAAGAAAAGGCGTGACGTTGTAAAAACACTCTATGGGTCAGCGCCGGAGACGACGCTCTCCCTCGGCCCACCCTGGTCTCCCTCGACCCCCCTCGGCCCCCCTTTCGACCCCCCCTCCTCGGCCCGCCTCGACCCCTCTCCATCCGCCTCGATCCTTTTCTCGGCCCTGCTCGATCCCGCTCGGCGCCGCCGCGAGCTCGCTGGCCCCTCCGATAGCGAGATTGCGACTTCGATGCCATGTTTTACACTGCGGCGTCTTTTTTCCCCTGACATGCTGCGCCCGCTGGACTTCCTAAGAGCGGCGCCCATTACCCCCGCTCCTGGATCGCCAAAGAGGATGACGAGGACGACAGGGGCGAGGAGGAGGAGCGATGGCGAGGAGGGGCGAGGGGGGGGCGGGGTGCGAGCGGGGAGGAGCGGGGGGGAAGAGATAGGGAATGGAAGATGTGATCATTTGATTAGCAATACCGAACCTTGCGAGCCGCCTGCCAACGTGATTGCTGATCCCAGCCGGCCAACATACCATTGTAAACTGACTAAACGCACGCGTGCCTCTAGAGAGGGTTCGGCGCGCGGCTGCCCGCGCCCAGGCCGGGCGCGTCGAGCGTGGCGCGACGCAGTCGTCGTCGGGAGCTAGGAGAGGTCTACGATTGTCGAGCTGGAACCCTCAGAATGCCTCCTTGGAGGTCTCCGCAATCACCTGCACCCGCGCGGGCGTCGCGTCGCCGTCGCTTGCTCGCGCAGCTCTGTTGCATCGGCTGGCAAGTTGGCGACCTAGTTCTTCTTGACCGGGTCATCCGCTGCGATGTATTTCCACGCTGCCTTGAGATAATTGACCACGCTGCGGACGGCGAAGGGCTTCGCCGCGAAGAATGGCGGCGCAATCTCGCGCTCGCCAAGGCCCCCGCCTCTGCGATCTCCGCCTGCACTTCCGAGCGCGCAGCGGAGATCTCCTCCGGGCTGGGCCCCCCCGATCTTCGTCGGCATCTCCTCGTCGCCGCGGCCCACCTCGGCCTCCAACTTCGCCTGCTTGGCCTCGATGGCCTGCGAATCGTCGGCTGACCTCTCGCGGGTCCTCTTCGACGTCCTTGCGCTCCCGGTCCAGGCTGCGCCCCGGGGCCCTGCCCATTTCGATCTCATCGATTGGGCGCGTAGTCCGCTGGCCATTCCGGAGGGTAGCCTCCAGGACCACGGCGCGGCGATCGAATCTCTCATCGGCCTCGTCGACGTCCGCGAAGCGGCCCTGGGGGGGCGAGGCGGGCGGGCGTGCGCGCGCGGCGTCGACCAGGCGACCGGACTTGACAGCCTGGATCTCCTCCGCGAGGCACTTGCTCAGCGCGGGGCCGGAGGGGCCGGCGGCCTGCCGCGTGAACGGGGCGCGGGGGCCGCCGCCCAAAACGGGACCGCCGTCTCCCGTGGCATCGAGGGCGCGCGTGCCCTCGCGCGTCTAGCGCCAGCGACGCCGCCCACGAAGCGCGAAGGTCTCGCTCTCCCTCGCGTCAAACCTGCACTCGACGCGCGCGGCGCGCTCATATGCTGCCTCTGCTTCAAGGCGGGCCGCCGCCGCTGCCGCGCCAGTCGAGCTCTTCGGCGCGGCCTCGAACCAGACGCCGCGGGCGAAGAGCGAAGCCGACGGCGCGGGCGGCGCCGACGACGTCCAAGGAGTCCCCGAGCGCATCGGACCAACGCTATCTGCAGGAGTATCAACTTTGTGCGGATGCGAGCGCCGATCCTCATCTGCAAATCGATCATCTCCGACGGGTCGCGATCTTCGACCTTCATCTGCAAAGAGTTGACCAGGGGCCGCGCGCGGTCGTGAGATCCGATCCCATCGGCAGGGCGGTCATCTCCGACAGTTCGCGGGCCCCGATCTCCAGCTGCATTATGATCGCATCTGGGCGGGTCCGACATCCGACTTTGACTTTCGCCGGCGGCGCGACGCCACGGCGCTGGCTTCGGCCGAGGCGGGCGGCGCGGCCGTTCGCGCAACGACGCGGGGGGCCCGGGCCGACGGGGGGCGGGCAGGACAGAGCGGGGCCACCGTCGCCCGGCGCTGGCGCCGCGGGGCACGACGCAGTCGCGGGCCATCCTGCAGGGCGCCCCCACTTTGTCGACCCGGCCGCGCACTGCGAGATAACGCACGCCTGCATCAATCGCGGGGCGGCCACGCGCGGAAACCTTGCAACCGGTCGCCAGCGAGATCCGACCCACGCTATCTGATGCCATTGCGCCCTAGATCTCAACGACCCCGCGCTTCGCCTCGGGCGGGTCGCGCGGGGCCGACGACGACATCCTCGAGCCGAAACGGCGGCGCGCGAAAACGCTTCAAACCCACGGCGAGCCCGTCAAAGCTGATTCCTTACAACGCAACGCCACCCCATAACCAACTCCTTCATGTTCGCATTCGAAAGCAAAACGGCGTTCAGATTGTCCCCGCCCCCCGCCATCAAGCCTCGAAACCCCTCTCCTCGCTCTCTCTCTGCTGCGCCCCCCCCCGCCCGCTCTGGCCCAACCTTCTTCTATGCAATTGCCGCTCGCAAACTGATCGCCTGCTGCGAATGCTACCGCCATCGCGTGATGTCTAGTTTTGTGGTCGGATGATGGGACGCTGGCTCGCCGAGGTCTGTCGGGGTGCAGTGCCCGCGCTTATCTTCTACGCCGATACTAAATGCCCCGATCGCGTCCATGTGTTTCTGTTTGAGAAGAAGGCTGTTATTTCTACGTGCGCGCGCCGTCGTAGACTCGTGGGAAACATCGTCCCTAGGCAATCTCGTACACGCACCACTGGCCGTTGCAACGTGGTATTTGCCCGTATCGCCCTTGCCCTCTCTGCCATTGACGTAGTCCTTCGCGGTCTGTTCTTGCCTTATGCCGTGCTCCACCGTGTTGTTCTTGGTTCATGTGCGAAGAAACTGTTTGCGCCGCTCGCTTGGCATGGGGTATGGAATGAGATCTTCGCTGGTCCGATGCAATAGTAGAACGTCATCAACGGCTGCTTCGGTCTCCAAAAAAAACTGAACGCGTTTCAGGACAGGTCTGGGGTCGTCGTCGTCGTGGTCGCCGTCGTCGTCGTCATCGACCTTCGTCGTCGTCGTCGTCGCCATGCGGGAATTGGGGGAAGCATTGGGAACCCGCACGATGAGTCTGGAGGGCCACAAGAGGGACCCGAAAAGCCCGCGAGAGGGGGCCTCGAGAGGGCCCAGCGTGGCCTCGAGAGGGGTCCATGGGGGCCTCGAAGGGACTCGCACTGTCATTTGTTCCCAACCATCCTGTGGTGTTGGGTCCTCGTTTTGAAGAGACGTCGCCCCGCGTTTCTCCTCCTCCTCCTCCTCCTCATTTCCTCCTCCCCCCCCTCCTCCCTGCGTTTCACCCACCCGCTGCAGCGTTTCGTGGCCCCAGAGGGAACTCCACCGAAGGCCCCAGTGACAGCGTTCGCACGTGGGCCCCGCCCCATTTCGGCACACCCATCACGAGGATCGTGGCCCCATAGGGAGCTCCACCAAAGGCACCAGTGGCTGCGTTCGCATGTGGGCCCCGCCCGATTTGGCGCACCCCTCGCGAGGATCGTGGCCCCATGAGGGAGCTCCACCGAAGGCCCCAGTGGCAGCGCTCGCATGGCGGCCCCGCCCCAATTCGGCGCACCCCTCACGAGGATCGTGGCCCCATAAGGAGCTTTACCGAAGGCTCCAGTGGCAGCGTTCGCACGTGGGCCCCGCCCCAGCGCGGCACACCCCTCGCGAGGATCGTGGCCCCATAGGGAGCTCCACCGAGGCCCCAGTGGCTGCCTTCGCATGTGGGCCCCGCCACATTTTGGCGCACCCCTCACGTGGATCGTGGCCCCACAGGGAGCTCCACCGAAGGCCCCAGTGGCAGCGTTCGCAAGGCGGCCCCGCCCCACGTCGGCGCACCCCTCACGAGGATCGTGGCCCCGTAGGGGGCTCCACCGAAGGCGCCAGCGGCAGCGTTCGCATGGCGGCCCCGGGCCATTTCGGCACACCCCTCACTAGGATCGTGGCCCCATAGGGAGCTCCACCGAAGGCTCCAGTGGCAGCGTTCGCATGGCGGCCCCGGGCCATTTCGGCACACCCCTCACGAGGATCGTGGCCCCACAGGGAGCTCCACCGAAGGCCCCAGCGGCAGCGTTCGCATGGCGGCCACGGGCCATTTCGGCACACCCATCACGAGGATCGTGGCCCCATAAAGGAGCTCCACCGACGGCCCCAGTGGCACCGTTCGCATGGCGGCCCTGGGCCATTTAGGTACACCCCTCACAAGGATCGTGGCCCCGCAGGGAGCCCCATCGAAGGCCCCAGTGGCAGGGTTCGCATGGCGGCCTCGGGCCATTTCGGCACACCCCTCACGAGGATCGTCGCCCCATGGGGAGCTCCACCGAAGGCCCCCAATGGCAGCGTTCGCATGGCGGCCACGGGCCATTTCGGCACACCCCTCATGAGGGTCGTGGCCCCATAGGAGCTCCACCGAAGGCGCCAATGGCAGTCTCCCTCATGGCTCTCAGAACCCTTTCCTGCTTCTGCCCTTGGGTCAAGGGGGCGCCGTCCTCGTGGTCGTCGGCGCCCGCGAAGACGGCCACAAACGTGTCCTTGAGCATGTCGGGTTCCGGCGGGAAGATGTAACTACATAGGGAGTGCGGGCGAAGATGGTATTCGCAATTGCTGTATCCACAATTGCGTATGGTTGGGTCCTTCGCCAGGCTAATTGCCCTCCTCGTTCTCCAAGCATCCAAGACGGCCCGCGCACCAGCGCCTGCGCCCCTCCCCCTGCATAAACTTGCACCGATTGTCGACGTCGCGCAAAATCCAGTAGCGCAAGGCGGCCGCACATGGGCGTTGGCTCTGATATCATGTGTTCTGTTGTTTGCATTGATTCGAAGCGCGTGCTTGACTGCTCGCCTTTCGGGCTGATCATACGTAGGTCGGCCGGCTGCGTTTTAGAGTTAAGTTCCCTTTTTTACGTTGTGAACAAAGATACATTGCGACAAAATCATGGGTCCGCGATGAATCAGAGGCGGGTTATAGCCCAAATGGTGAGTACTTCTGCGGGCTCAAATCTGACTGTGTTCAACCATGAAACATGAAATCCTACTTGCGTCATGTGTACCGTTGGTTGCAGACAGTATATGTTTACAACTATGTCCTGAACGTACCGCGCTCCTGCAGTGGAGGCCGACTCGGCGGCGGTTGGGACGCCGACGTGGCGGGGGCCGCGCGAGCTGGCCTGGCGCGTGGCGCGCCGCCGCGACGCCTGGGTCTGAGCAGGGCCGCGTCGGGACCGGGCGCCCGAGGGCCGTCCGCCCCCCTTCCTTTCCCCACCCCTCCCCCGCGCCGCCTCCTGTCGTTCGTCAGTCGTCAGCGGGTCGTTTGTCGTGTCGTCCTGTGCCTGGGCTCCGTCGGTGCTGTTAAACATGTAAGTGCGCTGGGCAGCAGAAAACACAGGAAGGAGGAGAGGGAGGAGCAGGATGACGACCCCTCTGAAGTTCGACGGGCGGAAGTGGTAGGGGGTGGGTGGGTAACCCTCATTTCCCCCCCCCCTTCCGCCTCGTCCTCTACATATTCCGTCCTCCGCCTCGTCCTGGAGAGGGGGGGCAGCGCAACAGCGGGGGTGCAGAACAGAGCTCCTCTGCTGGACGCCATTGCGGAAGGACACTGCCGAGAGACTGTCCATGCCGACGTCCATGAGGGCGGCGTCCTGGTGCCAAACCCTCTTCTTTCGCAACCCGCCCCCGGCCCACTGCTTCTGCCCTGGCCCCCCCCACACTCCTTTTCTTGGGTCTTATATCCACCTCGTCCTCTCACTCCCTCTCTTCCTCCCGGTCCTCCTTCCAGCGCGCTGATTTACCTCCTCCTCCTCCTCCTTCAACTCCTCCTCCTCCTCCTCCTCCTCCTCCTCCTTCTCCGCCTCCTCCTCCCTCCTCCCTGCTCCGTCCTCCTTCCTCCTCTTCCTCCTCCGCCATTCCTCCTCCTCCTCCTCCTCCTCCTCCTCCTCCTCCTCCGTCCTCCGCTTCTCCTACTTCTCCTCCTCCTCAACCTCCTCCTCCGCCTCCTCCTGTTTTCCTCCTCCCCTCCTCCCTGCTCCCTCCTCCCTGCTCCGGCCTCCCTCCTCCTCTTCCTCCTCCTTCCTATTATTCCTCCTCCTACTACTATTTCTCCTCCTCCCCTCCTCCCTCCTCTCCTCCTCCTCCTCCTCCTCCTCCTCCCTCCTCCTCCGCGTCCTCCTCCTACACCTCCTTTTCCTCTTCCTCCTCCTCCTCGTCCTCATCCTCCTTCTCCTCCTCCACCTCCTTCTCGCCTCCAGATGGCCCGCCACGCTCCCAAGGCGCTCCACACAAGCTTCCCGACAGCCCAGAACGCCACCCAGCAGACGCTCCAAGAGGTTCCACGAGCCCCTTAAACACAAACCACATTTGTTTACCGTTAGTTGTTGGTTGTTTCTGCTGTGTTCCGCCATTTCGGCCTGCTGGCGCTCCACAACAGCGTCAGAAGGACCAAAGCTCTCCCCAAGACGGTCCCAGAGGCCCCCTCCAGGGCGCCACACTGCCCAAAAGGCCCCAAAGACGCCACGAACGACTCCCAGGACAGCCCCAAGAAAGCACCGAATCGCTAAAACATCACCACCAGACGCGAATCACGCCCTTCAGGTAGCCCCACCACTGACGACGACGACAACGACGGCGACGATGACGACGACGCGCGAAAGAAGCATATATTAACAAACGAACTCATGGTGCACAAAACAGACAGGACACATGGCACCGCATGACCCCCAGACCCCCGAACCTGTGCATATCAGATAGAGCGCGTGTCCTCACCCGAGGACAGTCCAGAGGGACAGCACAGAGATGAAACTTCAGATGGCACGCGCTCAAGAGGAGGCAAGGCGGGGGGAAGGCATGGCGCCGCCGCTCGAGACATCCTCGCAACCGCGGCGCCGCCGCTCGAGACATCCTCACAATCGCGGCGCCGCCGCTCGAGACATCCTCGCAGCCGCGGCGCCGCCGCTCGATGCATCCTCGCAACCGCGGCGCCGCCGCTCGAAACATCTTCGCAATCGCGGAGCCGCCGCTCGGGACATCCTTCCAACCGCAGCGCCGCCGCTCGGGGCATCCTCGCAACCGCGGCGCCGCCGCTCGGGACATCCTCACAACCGGCGTGGATGAAGGCGATGAGGAGGAGGAGGAGGAGGAGGAGGAGGAGGAGGAGGAGGAGGAGGAGGAGGAGGAGGAGGGGGAGAGAGAGGAGAAAGAGGAGGAGGAAGAGGAGGAGGAGGAGGTGGAGGAGGAGGAGGAGGGAAGCGGGCCAGACAGATAGCACACGCCTGGGCCCTCCTGGGCCCCCTTGGGCCCAGGAGAGGCGCCCGCAACCGCTGCGCCGCCGTTCGACGCATCCTCGCAACGGCAGCGCCGCCGCTCGAGACATCCCCACGACCACGGCGCCGCGGCCTCCCCAGGGGCGCGCACCAGGCAGATAGCACACTGCCCTGGGGGGGGGGGGAGGCGGGGGGGCGGGATGGCGCCGCCGCTCGGGGCATCCTCGCAACCGCGGCGCCGCCGCTCGGGGCATCCGCGCAACCGCGGCGCCGCCGCTCGAGACACCCTCACGACCACGGCGCCGCCGCTCGAGACATCCTCACAATCGCGGCGCCGCCGCTCGAGACATCCTCGCAGCCGCGGCGCCGCCGCTCGATGTATCCTCGCAACCGCGGCGCCGCCGCTCGAAACATCTTCGCAATCGCGGAGCCGCCGCTCGGGACATCCTCGCAACCGCGGCGCCGCCGCTCGGGGCATCCTCGCAACCGCGGCGCCGACGCTCGGGACATCCTCACAACCGGCGTGGATGAGGGCGAGGAGGAGGAGGAGGAGGAGGAGGAGGAGGAGGAGGAGGAGGAGGAGGAGGAGGAGGAGGAGGAGGAGGAGGAGAGAGAGGAGGAAGAGGAGGAGAGGAGGAGGAGGAGGAGGTGGAGGAGGGGGGGAGGAGGAGGAGGAGGAGGAGGAGGAGGAGGAGGAGGAGGAGGAGGGGAGCGGGCCAGACAGATAGCACAAGCCTGGGCCCTCCTGGGCCCCCTCGGGCCCAGGAGCGGCGCCAACAACGGGGAGGGGGCGAGCATGGAAGGGGGGGCGGAGGGATAAGGAGATTTGGGGAGGAGGGCAGGGGCGCTTATTAGGTACAGGACGAGGGACGAGGAGGAGTGGGTGGATGAAGGTTTGTTCGGGCCCCCGACGTCGAGCCGCGCCCCGTCGCAGCGTCAAAAAGCTATATGGGCCCGCCTGTGCACGAAGGCCGCATCGCAGAGGCCTGTAACCCTGACGGGCACGTCTCCTCGCGCGTCGAGGCGTGTCAGAATCCCACGCGCTGTCTGGCGGGTTTCTGCGCGCCCCCACCCCCCCGGGGCGCGCGGGCGGCCCTGTGGAGCCACGGGGCTGCCAAGATGACCCAAACATATGTCTCCAAAATGGACCCAGATGGCTCCTAGGGGGCCATGATGGCCCCGCTACGGCCCAATATGCCCCCGCCAGGCAGATAGCACATGCGGGTGCCGGGGGTGAGAGAGGGGGCATTGCAAGATTCGGCATCGCAGGCGTCCCCGGGCGATCCCCGGCAGAGTCGGATCAGAGATGGCTTTGAAGGCCTTTTTTCGACACCCCTCACGAGGATCGCGGCCTTCGAGGGGGGTGTACTCGACTACCCCGCCCCAAGAGGCCCCCAAGAGCCACCCAAGAGGCCTAAGGGGGGCCCAAGACGCCGCCAATGAGCCCCAAGAGACCCCCAAGAGGCCCCCAAGAGGCCCCTAGGAGGCCCCAAAGAGGCCCCCAAGAGGCTCCAAAGAGGCCCCATAGAGCGCTCGACGGCCGGCGGAATGAGCGAAGCGATTATATCTATATATGTGTGTGTGTGTTACGCGGCGTCATTGCGCGCTCGTTTGCGCGGGGCACGCGGCGTGACACAGCGTGCTTCCGAGCGAGGCGGCGTGCAGGCCTCACGAGTGGAGGAAGAACTCGTTCCACCTGTGATGTCGACAGCCACGTTGCCTAGAGTGAAGATCGCATAGGTGACGTGGTCTCCCGCGCGCAGCACGTTGCCGATCACGCAGTTCTCGCGGGCGAAGACGCGCTGCGAGGCGTCGGCATCCGGGACGATGTGGCCGAAGCCCTTCTCGATGTTGAACCACAGCACCGTGCCAGTCACGCGCGCGCCCATGTCAGCAGCCGCCGCTGGCGCGCGTGGCATGGGTCGTGCGTTCGGGAAGAGGCAGGAAGGGCGTGGGCGTCGGTTCCGTCGCGAACGCACCGGTGCGAGCTCAAACGCTTATGTATACACACACGTGTTCGAGGCTTGAGTAGGCCGCCACGCATTCGGGGTGTCTCGAGCGGGTGCCTCGCTCGTGAGTGGATTACAAGGACGTCTCAGGCGGGAGCTCCCTTTCCTATGGGGTCTGTACTTCAAGCTATATAGTACATAATCCGATTGGGAATTGGAGCCCTCCAACAGCTTGCGCCCCTGAGGCATGCGAGTGTAGTATATATATATATGGCACCAAACACCGACCAAGACACACGGCACCGCGCGACCCCCACACCCCCGAACCGGCGCATATCAAAAAGCGCAAGCGTCCGCACCCGGGGACAGTCCATAGGGACAGCACAGAGGGGAACCTTCAAATGGCACGCGCTCAACAGGAGGCAAGGCGGGGGGAAGGCATGGCGCCGCCGCTCGAGACATCCTCACAATCGCGGCGCCGCCGCTCGAGACATCCCCACAACCGCGGCGCCGCCGCTCGAGACATCCTCGCAAGCCGCCGCTCGAGACATCCTCGCAACCGCGGCGCCGCCGCTCGATACGTCCTCACAATCGCGGCGCCGCCGCTTGAGACATCCTCGCAACCGCGGCGCCGCCGCTCGAGACATCTTCGCAATCGCGGAGCCGCCGCTCGGGACATCCTCGCAACCACAGCGCCGCCGCTCGGGGCACCCTCGCAACCGCGGCGGAGGAGGAGGAGGAGGAGGAGGAGGAGGAGGAGGAGGAGGAGGAGGGGAGCGGGCCAGACAGATAGCACAAGCCTGGGCCCTCCTGGGCCCCCTTGGGCCCAGGAGCGGCGCCGACAACGGGGAGGGGGCGAGCATGGAAGGGGGGGGCGGAGGGATAAGGAGATTTGGGGAGGAGGGCAGGGGCGCTTATTAGGTACAGGACGAGGGACGAGGAGGAGTGGGTGGATGAAGGTTTGTTCGGGCCCCCGACGTCGAGCCGCGCCCCGTCGCAGCGTTGAAGAAGAGAGCTGTCATCACAGAGGCCTGTACCCCTGACGGGCACGTCTCCTCGCGCGTCGAGGCGTGTCAGAATCCCACGTGCTGTCTGGCAAGGTTTCTGCGCGCCCCCACCCTCCCGGGGCGCGCGGGCGGCCCTGTGGAGCCACGGGGCTGCCAAGATGACCCAAACATATGCCTCCAAAATGGACCCGGATGGCTCCTAGGGGGCCAGGATGGCACCGCTACGGCCCAACATGCCCCCCGCCAGGCAGATAGCACATGCGGGCGCCGGGGGTGAGAGAGGGAGGGGGGGGGGGGGCATTGCAATATTCGGCATCGCAGGCGTCGCCATCGCAATCGTCATCGCCCGCGCCGCAATCGGCATCGCCATCGCAATTTTGAAACGTCTCGAAACACGAAAAGTGCTAGGCTGGCACGGTGGCAGGACTTGCTGCAGACAGCTGAACAGGACAGAACAGAGGAGGCCAGCGCGAGCAGCGAACCCCTAGCAGTCGCTCGCGCACCCCTTTCCTAGCAGCTGCAAACGCACCGAATTCTACCTACGGGGTCGCGGTGCCGCCGCCGGCGGCGAGCTTGGCATGCCACTCCCAGCACCAGCTGGCGCAGCGCGCAACGGCTTCCTCGAACGACGCCACCGTGTGCCCCGAGGCGGGGCCGAGTGTCAGAATCCCACGTGCTGTCTGGCAAGGTTTCTGCGCGCCCCCACCCTCCCGGGGCGCGCGGGCGGCCCTGTGGAGCCACGGGGCTGCCAAGATGACCCAAACATATGCCTCCAAAATGGACCCGGATGGCTCCTAGGGGGCCAGGATGGCCCCGCTACGGCCCAATATGCCCCCCGCCAGGCAGATAGCACATGCGGGCGCCGGGGGTGAGAGAGGGAGGGGGGGGGGGGGGCATTGCAATATTCGGCATCGCAGGCGTCGCCATCGCAATCGTCATCGCCCGCGCCGCAATCGGCATCGCCATGGCAATTTTGAAACGTCTCGAAACACGAAAAGTGCTGGGCTGGCACGGTGGCAGGACTTGCTGCAGACAGCTGAACAGGACAGAACAGAGGAGGCCAGCGCGAGCAGCGAACCCCTAGCAGTCGCTCGCGCACCCCTTTCCTAGCAGCTGCAAACGCACCGAATTCTACCTACGGGGTCGCGGTGCCGCCGCCGGCGGCGAGCTTGGCATGCCACTCCCAGCACCAGCTGGCGCAGCGCGCAACGGCTTCCTCGAACGACGCCACCGTGTGCCCCGAGGCGGGGCCGACCCACCGCCACCACGTAGACGCTGGCGCATGTGCACCAGGGTACCAGCACTGGATGGATGTCTTTCGCTTGCAGAGCCTGATCCCCTCCACGGGCGGGAACGCCGCGGGGTCAACCTCGGCTGTGTCCGAAGCCAGGACGAAGTCCACGAGGGCGTCGTCCGCGTCGCCGCCGCACCCCTCGAAGAAGGGGAAGAGGATGAGAAGGAGGATGGGGCGGAGGAGGAGGAGGAGGAGCGGGGGGGAGGAGGGGGGGGGAGGAGGCCGAGGAGGAGGAGAGGAAACGGTGAGGGACCAGGGCAGGAGGAGGGAGGAGGAAGGAGGGGGAGGAGGAGGCCGAGGAGGAGGAGGGGAACCGGTGAGGGACCAGGGCAGGAGGAGGGAGGAGGATGGAGGGAGGACATCGGAGAAGGGGTGCAATGACCAGAAAACTGTTGTCATCGGAGTCGGCGGCGCCCTCGCTGCTGCTACCGGGCTCCTGGCCCAGGTGCCCGTGCGTCTCGAGGGCAGCCCCAGCGGCCTCCTCAGGAGCACAAAAAGATAGCACACCCACGGCCCCACAAGGAAGCCAAGACCGCCCCAGGGGCCCCAAGACAACCCTGGATATCTATATATATATATATATATGTATATATATACATGTATATATATAAATATACATACATACCTCACTGGTAAATACCTTACTGAGAAACTGCAACTCGCCATGGAGAGACCCAACCAGAGAATGCGCCCAAGACGGCCCAAGGGAGACCCAAAACTGCCTCAAGAGGGGCTCACGCAGGGGAACGCGAACCGAATCTATATACACATCTATATATATATATATATATATATATATATATATTTACACACACGCACGGCTCCAACAGGTCCCAAGGAGCGCCCAGGTGCCCCCAGGAAGCCCCCGGAGCGCCTCTGGGTCACCCGCAGGCGTTCTCGGAGCGTTTTTGCGTCACATGAAGGTGGGGCCCCTTCTCGGAGCGCTGCTGCGCCCCAGGAGGCCCCGAGAACCCCGCGCCAACCAGATAGCACATCGGTGCGGGGGTGGGGACTGGGGACGTCGTGTCCGCCCCTTTGGGTCGACCTCACCCCCTATATAACGGTTTGGCTGAAAACCGCACAGGTCCGCCAACTCGTCGGCGTCCTCGCTCGTCTCCATGTCCGTCCCGACGTCGGTCGCCTCGCCCATCTCGACGTCTTCGGCCTCGGCGTAGTCCGCCAAGAGCGCCGCCAGAGAAGGCGCGTCAACGTGTTCAGGAACCCGCGCGTGATCATTGTAGGTAAGTTTGAGGCACCGAATACGTTGAGGATGTACCGCGCCAATAAGCTGCACAGTCATATTTTCGCCATCCAGGTGGAAGGCTGCAATGTCCTTGAGCCTCCCTGCACGGCCATCCTTCATGGGTTTGAGTCGCAGCTGAAGCCCCCCATCTGGCCCATAAGCGGTATTATGTTTGAGCCAATGTGCACTGGGCGATTTGCCTGTCGTCATGTTCAACAGGACAAGCCGAGGACCAACCTTAAGAAACTTATCTAGTTTCTCCACACAGTCCATAACTTCATTTGCTACCCCAGATTCAAGTGCCCGCTTCTCGTACATGTATTGTGCCAAGGTCCTTTCCACGGCTGTGGCCATCATCACTGGCATGTTGACCCACGACGCGTGCTGGTCTGGCTTCTCCGCGTCCGTGAGCAGTTGCCAGAAGTATCGAACCTCTCCAGGCTGGATGGACCCAAGGATGTCATCCATAGTGTCCCGGGAAAAAGGCCAGCGCGATTCGGAATCGGCAGCGATGGAGTCCCGCGCCTTGCTCTGTGCAGCGCCCTCCTCAACCGCGCGGCCCACCTGCTCCACAGTCAGACCAGTTTCTGCAGCCATGGCCTCCTTGGAGACGAACCCAGTCGATATCCACGCCCATTGGAACAAGCAAGTCGGCATAGCCTCCCAAGCTGCTGCGCACGCGGCCAAGGCATCCATGCTGGACACCGTTGTATTGGCGATCCCACTGCTGTTCAACCACAAGTTGTGATAATCTGTCCGATAAAAGGCATTTCCAGAAAACCCCAGCAAGGAGTCTGTGCTTGTATCACATTTTGCTCTGAAGAAGCCGTGTATTTTATCACACATTTGGCATTCTGCAGACCAGCCGCCAGCCTCCTTGACGGGCAGGACCACGTTGACTTCAGAGGCCCACTTGGCCCTGCGGAACTGCTCGCCGTGGCCTGGACATGGGATGGGAAACGATGTGATATCTGTCCTGCCCCCCTCCAAGGGCCCCCACGTGGGGCTGCTGTGGGCCTGCACGGCTAACCCTGGCCTTCTCGGGGCCCTCGTATATAGGCCCCATTGAGGTTGCCTCGTGGGGGCTTTCTGGGGGCCGCGCTTCCAGATAGCACATCCGCGACTTCCCCACCCGCGCGCCTGTGGAATGTACCGAAGGGCACGCGTCGCAGATGATCAGGCCCGTATCTGCAAGGGTCAGTCCAAGTTTCGCCCGTTGAAGTTTGCATGCTGGCGTATACAACTTCTCGAACAACTCCAAGTTGGTCTCGGCATTGGTGAAGTGGGACGGCGTGCCACTGCACATGATGTAGAATGTGCCCTGGTTGGCCGCGTTGAAACTATCACGAAACTCACGGCTTAGCACTCCATCTGGGCAGCAAAATGCCAGAGGCCCCTTTGTTCCGTTCCCCCACGTCGACGTGAC